TTTTTTTTTTTTTTTTAACCAGTTAAAACATCTGCCTGTTTTTCTCATGAGTTAAATAAAATCTCTAGCTTGTGTTTGCTTTTATATCTGTATGACAGCCAAGTTTTTTAGTTTTTTGAAAGTATTTTTTAACAGTGGTAAGAAAGTATGACCAATTATTAGTTTTCTATTGCTGCTGTAATGAATTAACACAAATTTAGTGACTTTCAAAAGCAGAAGTCCGAAATGAGTCTCACAGGCTCAAATCAAGATGTCTGCAGGGCTAGTTCCTTCTGGAGGCTCCAGGAGAGAATCTGTTACATGTCACTTCCAGCTTCCAAAGGCTGCTGGCATCCCCTGGCTTGTGGCAGCATCGTTATAATCTCTGCTTCCATCATCACATTGCTCTCATTTCTCACTCTGAATCCTCCAGCATTCTCCTTTATTTATTTATTATTTATTTATTTTGATTACAGATTACACTGAATATTATTTTGTATGAGTTTCAGGTGTATAGCATAGAGGTTAGAAAATGATAGTCTTTATAAAGTGTTCCCCCTGACATTTCCAGTACCCAACTGTCATCATACATAGTTATTACAATATTATTATTATTTAAACATATCTTTATTGATTTCAGAGAGAGGAAAGGAAAGGGGGAGAGAGAGATAGAAACATCAGTGATGAGAGTCATTGATCGGCTGCCTAGCCCGCAACTTGTGCATGTGCTCTGACTGGGAATCGAACCCCAGTCTCCTGGATCCTAGGTCAGTGCTCAACCCTGAGCCATGCCCGGCCGGGCAACAATATTGATTGTATTTCTTGTGCTGTACTTTACATCCTCATTACAATTTTGTAACTACCAATCCGTACTTCTCAATCTCTTCATCTTTTTCACCCTATTATCCAACCCCCTCTCCCTGCTGTCCACCATCAATCTGTTTTCTGTATGTATGAGTCTTTCTGATTTTTTTGTTTGTGTGGATGGCTTGTGGTCTTAACACCTCACTTCACACACTGCAGTCTAGGGAGATGGCAGTTTAGAAGGGGCCAGGTTGAGATCAGCAGTAGAGTGAATAGGCAGTGCAGGTTTCATTGGGAGACACAGTGTAAGGACTGAAAGGAGATGTGATTTGGTCTTAGGGGGCAGCATATTTAGCATGGGGGATATGGCAAAGGCCCTATGGAATGCCTTAGTAATGAACCTGAGTGAGGACTTGAAGGGACCACACTCCTCAGAACACACATGGTTCCACAGAGCCCAGCTACACCTGCCTACTGTCTTCCATGAGAATTCTCAGCCTTGCTTGGCCAGTTGTACCCTGAGGACCATTGAGCATTTCTCTTTCATGTCCCTGATGGACACAGCAACCGAGAGATCAGGTGACCTGTGAGGCCCTGTAGCACTGTTGTCAGGAGAGGTCCATTGGAGGCAGCTTTTATCGGAGCCACCACAGTTGAGATTAGCAGCTGTGGCCTCTCACATTTTCCTTCTTTCCTTTAGGGAGTCATTCCCCATTACCTTCCTGTTCACACTCCTGATTACCACCACCCACAGGAGTTGTCATGTCTTTTTGTCAGAAGAATCCACAATGTTCACCTGATCAACCTCTTCAGACCCACAGTGAGACCCAGGGCCTTGGAGGTTGAACAGGTCCCCGAGGCTCTGGAGGAGGCCTGTCTCTCCTCCCATCCTCCAATGCCTGGTGATTCGAAAGAGGCTCCTGATGCTGGTATCCTCAGTACCTTTGAGAGTCCTCAGAATTTCTGCTCCTCCTCAATTGTCACCATAGTCACCTCATCAAGCAAATCTGGTGAGGGCTCCAGTAGCCAGGATGAAGAAAGTAGCCCCTTAGGGGCAGGTCCAGACCCTAAGAATGTGCCCATAGATGCCCTAGATGAAAATGTGGCTTTGTTGGTGAATTTCATGCTTCTCAAGTAGCAAATGAATGAGCTAATAACCAAGGCAGATATGTTGAAGATTGTCAGCAAAGAGTATGAACACCACTTCATTGAGATCTTCCTGAGAGCCTTTATGCACATGGAGATAGTCTTTGGCCTTCATGTGAAGGAAGTGGATCCCACCAACCATTGCTATGTCATCATCAAAGTGGGCCTCACCTATGATGGGATGTGGCATGATGAAAAGGGCATGCCCAAGACCGGCATCCTGATACTTATCCTGGCTGCGATCTTCATGAAAGGCAACCGTTCCACAGAAGAGGAAATTTGGCAAGTTCTGAGGGTGACTGGGGTGTATTCTGGGAAGAAGTGCCACATCTTTGGAGAGCCCAGGAAGCTTATCACCGAATATTTCATGGAGGAGGAATACCTAAAGTACCAGCAGGTGTGCAACAGTGACCCTGTACAATTTGAATTTCTGTGGGGCCCGAGAGCCCACACTGAAACCACCAAGATGCAAGTCCTAGAGTTCATGGCCAAGGTTCATGGGATTGACCCAAGTTGTGCCCCATTTCAGTATGAAGAGGTGTTGCAAGATGAAGAAGAGGAAGTTCGAGCCAGACTTTCAACCAGGGCTGTCTCTACTTCTGTGGCCACTACCAGTTCTATGGCCAAGCCTGGCAGCTCCTCCCACACCTAGGGAAGTCAGGGGTAGTTTCCTCATGCATTGGTTGAAGAGGCAGTCTGTGTTCATAGAATTTAAGTCTGAGATGGGACTAAAAGGAACACACTATATTTGTCTGTGTTCCTCTTTGATATGTGTAACTTGAAAATTTATTCTTTTATTTGTTGATGTATATATTACTCAAATATTGCTTTTTTTAGTATAGATTTAATTAGCTTCAAAGTCCCCAAGTTTATGAATTATATTGGTCACCTATGTAATACTCTAAGGAGCTTTTGTAGTAAGAGTTTGGTTGTTTTGGAAAACAAAATGTGAAACCATCCATCTTATGTTGTCATCTGGAAAAAGACAACATGGCATTGCTATAGCCATGTCCCTGTAAATGCAAAGGAAATGATCTTTAAGAAAATTGGGATCAATGGAAAAAGACAGAGAAGAAAATCTAAATGATATTCCAGTCTTGGCTTTTTATCCTTTTTAGTTCTTGTGTAAAATTAAATCATTATTTGCCAAGCTCTTTCAAGAATGTACAAGAAATAAATCTTAATACATTAGACCTCATGGTCTCTGGCTCATTTTTTCCTGAAAACTTCAGTGAACACCTGCCTTTTGGATAGCATTGCACCAATACTGGAAATACTAGGATTTAAGGAATCAGGATCTGGTCATTGAATTATAACTTAGAAAAATAATCTTTTAAGGTCATGGTGTGATCTTCTAATATCCAAAGGAGAAGTAAAATGAAGGTGTGAGTAGGTTGTTGGACAGTTCATATGAGACTGTCTAAGTGTTAATACTGTTAGGCATGGCAGTTTGGGGCCTTGGGAAACTTCAAGTCCTTCAATTGCAGTTAATTTTATATTAAACTGGCTGAGGGCATCGTGAGCAGGGAGCAACCCAGACAGTGAGTCTCAAAGTTGAAACCCAAGGTCTGTAGTGCAGAAGTTGCTGTTAACTCTTCCTTTTGGATCCCAAGTAAAGCAGAAGAAAATTCTCAGCTGGTACTGGAATGGAAGGTGTCCTACATTCCTGTGCTGGTGCAGTGGGACTCAGCACACAAAGTAGTTTCATTTATATATATCATCTGTAAGGAGTTTCTGAGAAATAGAGATGATCCTCTTTAGAGATTCAAACACTCAGAAACCACTGGGCCGGGACTCTGCCATGGCCGAAGAGAGTCAGTGCCCTCTTCATGCCAAGGAAAATTTAAGTAAGCTTTATTTATTGTAATTTGGCAAACAGTTAACAAAGGCCAAATTTTTAGTAGGGGTAAGAAGAATGAAAAGGGGGGGGAGGAGGGAGAGGACATTGTGCCCTGTCTCGGTTGGTGTGTCAACCCTTACATCAAAAGGTCTTGGCTTTGAATCCTGGTCAGGGCACATACCTAGTTTGTGAGTTTGGTCTCCAGTTGGGGTGCATGCGAGAGGCAACCAATCGATGTTTCTCTCTCACATCAATGTCTCTCTCTCTCTTTCAAATCATTAAACATATCCTTGGGTGAGGATTAAAAAAATAAGTAGAGGCTGCCAATGGTAGATATAAGAGGAAAAATAATTTTACCTCTATCCTTCTAGTATCTTGGCTATGAATCCCTGTTATATAAAAAAATTAATAGGA